GGGCTGTGGTTTGGGAGTGAGGGACAGACACACACACACACACACACACACACACACACCACCCAGCAGGTAAGTGTGTGGGGGGGAAGGGATGTGAAGGAGGGAAGGGGTGAGGGTGCAGATCAAGGCCCCTATGATGAGGGAGGGAGTAGGACAGAGGCAGGAGCAGGGACTGGGGTGAATGGGGCCCTGGGGTTGGGGCAGGTCATGAGACGGAGCTGTGGGTGGCTTATCCAGGGGCATGGGGAGGGGGTCACTCCCACTGCTGTGTGCACCTCTGGGTGGAGGAATGGGGGCACATGCCTCCCAAATTTGTCCACAAGGAGGAGGCAGGCTGTCCACTGCATGCTGGGCTCTGCAACCTGCTTCCATTGCACTGGGAGCCACGTGACTCCATGCTGTTCCTCCCACTGCTGGGCAGGTAGGGGACGTAGCACAACCAGTGTGAGGCTCCCAGGGCAAAGGCAGCAGGGCTCACAGTCCCAGCCTGCAGCAGCAGCCCGCCTCCACCCCACACACAAATCTGGTTGGGGCATGTTTCCCCAATGCCTTCCCCGGGGTGTGCGCAGTGGTGGGAGCCCCCCTGAAGTCCTCTGCACTGCTACCGCTGGCCCGCGGGGCAGCTTGGAGGTGGTGGTGGTAACGTCACAGCGCAGCCCAGGCATGGGCTTCAAAACCATGTGCATGATTTAATATGTTAAATAAAAGTATGCAAACAATTAGTGCATTAACCGTGCAAGTTAACCACAATTAATTGACAGCCTTAATTTAAACTGACATGTTTATTTTTCCTAAAGAAAGGAGGGAAAAAGCAAAAAAAAAAGTTTTCAGCATGTTTAATATCCTTGCTTACACTCTATGTATCTCTGGTTTTCCATTTAGGTAACTACGGCGAAAGTGGAATGGAAGCTTTTAAAGATATGTCGGCCAAGGAGGGGATCTGCATTGCACATTCCTACAAGATCTACAGTAATGCTGGTGAACAGAGTTTTGACAAACTGCTGAGAAAGCTAAGGAGCCATCTGCCCAAGGCAAGAGTGGTTGCCTGCTTCTGTGAGGGCATGACTGTGAGAGGGCTGCTTATGGCCATGAGGCGTCTGGGGCTTGCCGGAGAGTTTTTGCTGCTAGGCAGGTAAGTAATGTTGTTGTTAACTATACCATCCCATTACATACATCCATGTATGTTGGCCACAGGATATATATATACATTTGCTGAAGTTCAGGATATCTTTTAGGCAGAGGCTTTATCACCTGTGGTTCAAATACCATGGAAGGGTTGTGTACAAAGGTTGCATCGCCTCTGTCTGGAAGGTATTACTCAGTAAAATAATTTGCCAGAAGGTGACAGCAATGTACATATACATATTTATGATTTCTATTATCCAGTTTCATTGCCACATTTTCAAAATGTGCCATGTAAGTACAATGTCATTGATAGCTCGATCTGAGTGCACTTGTTTTAAAAGACACGGCCTTTTGTGTCTTTTAAAGGGGGTCTGCCCTTTTGCAAAATGGAGTCTCTTAAAAATGGGGAGATAATATACAAATTACTGATTTTCTTTAGGAGAAATTAAGTTCTTTCTTTAGAATACCGATCACAGCATTCGGGCGCTCTGTTGTATAATGAGGAGCTCAGTCACTGTAGTATAAATGTTCACTTCCATCTGCACACGGGGGAAAAAGGAAAATACTTAGCTGCATTAATTAAGCAGGAAATGAGACTGAGGTGATTCCACAGAGACAAAAGGAACTGATGTACGCTAAATGTGCCTTTGTTCATTTTCTTCGTGTTTGGAAGAAACTAATGTGTTTTCTGTGGGGCAAAAAAAAAGATATCCAGTTTATATGATGTAGCCTCGCCCCGACTCCAAAAAAGTATAGTTGGAAGGATGAATAAATGCTACTGTGAGCTTGGACTCAGCTTGAAGGTTCATGAGAATACTGATGAGATGCCAGCAATGTGACAGAGATGCAAGGTAAACTGGTGAGCTACAAGTAGGTATTTAAACAAAATGGGAATAGTGCATTTCTAAACAGTTGCATTGGTATCTGTGGGCCTCATGTCTTAGTCCTTGTAGAGCCTGGGCTTCTCTTCATACCACCTGCCTCTTTCATGTGGCTGTTCACCCCACCTTGGTGGGGGAACCATGAAGAGAAGAACATGGACAATATGGACTTCTGCTTACTTTCATTGTCTTCTCTCCAGAAGGAAATGTTTACTACCTCTTTTTGCTAAATTATATATATTTTTGTGCCTTAAATAAAGAGGAGCTCATTGTTATGGCTATCATGTTCCAAGTGAATTTGCTCTGTCAAATCATGCCTTATTTGAACCATTTCCAGTCTGATTTACAGAACACCTATAACCTCTATCAACTTCAGTTGCAGTGATTGGTGCTCATCACTTTAGCGAGCCTCTATTACACTAACTACAAAGAGAAATTTCTTAACTGCAAGCCTCCCATTATCAAAAGCCATGTAGGTAATTGGTTCTTGCAGACCTCAAACTTCTTTTCATTGTAATAGGAGTTACTTGTATACAACAGTGGAAGAGTAGGACTGAGAGAGGTTCATTTGTGACTGAATGAGACTGAGTCAGTGCAGGGATTAACTGTAGATCTTTAAAAAAGGTAGAGACCACACATAAGCGACTTTGCATTTTTTCAGTGAGATATACAGTACATACCTTACTTATGATCGGGGTTGTCATGTCTAATTGAAAAACAGTTTAGTATATCATTATAGTCAGTATACTATTTTTATTCAGTGGATTGACTGCATTGGTTTGTTTTAGAAGTCTATGTAGAAAATTTGGGTTAAAAACAAAACAAATAAAATAAAACCTGTTACTCCTATTTGAGTGATTTTTACATGTTCTTGCCTCCAGCACAACTGTTGTGTTTATTTGTGAATATTGTCACTGGAGTGTGATCTGTTCAGACAGATCCTTTTGATTTTTTTTATCTTCGATATTAAAAGGCACTGACATATGATTGTGATGACTGGTGGAGTGTAAAAGCTTTGGTCTACATTCTTAGTTATGGCCAGTATCTGCTGGGGCAGGGGGAAATGAAGCAGAGAAAACTAGTTGCACCTCTCCAGTTAGGGGTACAGTAAAAATACACCTTGTTATACTGGCCAGCTGGCAATTGCTGGAATGAAGGATGCTTTCTCTCCCTGGCCCTGACAACTGTTCCTATCAGTTCTGCTGGGATCTACAAGAAGGGGAATCAGCTATATCACCTTTTTCTTGCTCTTTTTCAGTCAGGTGATAGTAGTATTTTATGTCCTTTTTGTTCATTATGTACAAGTGCAAATAGAAGTGTAGCTCCTAGTCGTAACTCAGAATGATTTCTGCAAAGCGTTCTGAGTTACAACGTTACCCCAGACCAAACAGAAGTTCACTGTTGGTTCCAGGGGGAGGGGGATCTAGCTGGGGCTGGGAGCCTGCAGCCAGGTTCCCATAGCAAGGGACACGGCTCTCTGCCTGTGCTTACTGTTTTCAGAATGGGAGGGGGGAAAGGCAGCAGATGGAGCTTGATCTTGGGACTCCCCAGCTGGTGTTGAAGGGTGGGGTGGGTGAATTGAAGCCTCCCCACCACCTTGGGGGAGGGGGGACTCCAATACACCCATCCCACCCTTTGTGGGAACTAAAAAAAAAAAAACCCAGACTGAACTCCTTCTGCTCCCTTTCCCCCTTCTCATTCTGCGGTGACAGGCTGGGAGCTCTGCAAACACAAGTTACAAAAGATGCTACAATTTGACCCATCTTTATCTGATACCTCATGCAATGAGGGGTCAAATTTTCACCCAATCAGCCATTTTAAGCTGTTTGTAGCTGTTCACTTGTGTTTGGTCAGAGCTATGAACTTTCTGTGGCCAGATCAGGTGAACATTGTCATTTCTGTCTGCACCCATATGCTGGATAGGAAACAGTTCTCCCATCCCATACAAACTTTGATGTTCCACTCTAGAACAAATTTGAGACCTTTCAAAAAAAATTCATGAAAAATGAGATAGCCAGCTCCTAGAGTAAACCAATTGTTAAAATAGTTGACTGGATATAGGTGTCACAGTTTTAAATCTATGAATCACATGAGAGTGAATAGGGACTTGAATTTGGGTTTACCACCTTGCAAAGGAGCACCCTTTTACTGCTAGGCTGTTAGCTTTTTTCTGGGGAAGAAGAAACTCATTCTTAGTTACTGTTGTATAAATTATTAAATAGTTATTGGTGTAGGAAAGATTTACTTCTTCACATAATGTTTAGAGCACTTCCCTTATATGTGGGTGGTAAAAATTAAATGAAAACTGAAACCTGCTTCATCCAAAAATCTGTGAGCTGCTCTAGTAATAAGACCAGAATATGGTTCAGGATAGACCCCTAGAATCCTCTTGAAGCTCCTAAAAATGCATATGTATTTTCTAGCATATTCTTACTTTTTATATGTAACGATTGCTCAGAGTATTTAAGTCATATTTGTAACATTACATGTTTGTTTGGTGAACTACAGTGAATAGCAAGGTTCCTGAGAGGCTGTTTAATCAATACACTACACGTCAGTGTGCACTAGTGATCTAATGTTTATACCTTAGCTTCATTATAAAGAACAAGGCAAAAAACAGACTACTCTAAATACCTTCCTGTGGTGCAGTGAACCTACAAGTGTATACCCCTGGAGTGAGATACGATAAAGAGAATAGGTTTTAGAAACTACAAAAGACAGTTTGAAGTCTTAGAAATAGATTAGTATCTGTAGTTTATTTATGTGATGGAAAAATATGGATTCTAGGAAGTCCTTAAATGAACCACAGGAGGAGAAATAACTATGAACTTGCCTAAAATATTGACTCACAGGGCAAGTCTACACGTCACCCTATGTTGCTATTGTGGGGGCCAAGGGGGATCTGGGAAAGGGTCGACTGGGTTGTGGCCACAAACCCAGCACGTACAGATGGGTACTTTCGACCGCTGGAGTAGAATTAGGCACAAATGCGTACTGGTTCAAACAAAGATGGCTTTACTTACACTGTCGAGATGTACAGCGTAGGAAGAAAGTTAACTTCAAACTTCAGTTTCAGTTTAACCGAGGAGCTCTGATAAGATGAGATATCTTTCTAACAGGTTTGAACACGAGCATGCAGGACACGGGGGTACGTCAGGATGGTCGGCGACGGGGAGTCGTCAGTGGTTGATCAGTCCGCCACGTTCACTCCGAGATGGGCGCGGAGTTCTCCAACTTGGGTGGAAACTGCTCCAACCTTTTATACGGCTAGCGAGCCAATTGCTAGTCGCCACGTAGGAATAATTTAGAACCAGCCAATAGTAATGTGTGAATTTGCATCTGAGTGGCGGGAACCTTTCCACGCCGGTGTTCTCCACCGTGCCGAGAAATTCCCTCGTACAAAATCTCACCGTGCCTTGTGCTAGAAAGTTCCACTGTGCCAAGGCACTCAACCACTAGGCCCTGACAGCTATATTGATGCACTATGTCACCATACGATGCGCTACAGCAGGGGTGTCCAACCTTTTTGAATGTGGGGCTGGATCATGAACTTTTTATCACCCAGTGGGCCGGCGAGCTATATTCATATTTTATCACCCCACAGGCCGTGTGTTGGACAAGCCTGAAATAAGGCAAAGCTGGCATAAACCCCCACCTGTGCTCAGCTAGTGACAAGCTACAGCAAATGATGTCCTGGACCAGCCATCCCAACAGCTGGGGCCCCACTAATGCCTACTACAATCACCATTTGAAGGCAGCCTCAGAAGATATTTGACAGCCGTATTAAAATATGTGACCAAACCGATGTAACTGGTGCTCTCACACAGGCCAAGGGGCTGCCTATGCCACTGCTTCCCAGGCCTTGCCCACACCAGCAACACTGCTGCCCAAAGTCTTGGCAGTGCTTGGGCAGTCACGGCTGGGGCCCAGCCAACACGAGACGGGGGATGGCAGAACTGCGGGAGCAAAGCCAGTTCCCAGCCTGGCAGGGTCTCAGGCGTGGTCCACCCAGGGCAGCTCCTGGTGGGGGAAGGCCTCGGGGGAGCATGGGCCACTCTACTCCTCCATGCTTCCCTGCGGTGAAGGCAAATGGCCCCCGGGAGGGCACAGGCAGCCGCCGCGGCAG